AGAAGGATTATAAATTCGAGGCCAGCATGGGCTACACAGTGATGTAGAGGCCAGCTTGGGTTACACTGCAAAACCCTGTTTCAAAACTAGAAACAGGTCTGGGGATCTAGCTCAGTGATTCTGTCTCTGCCTCTCAAGCACAAGGTCCCAAGTTCAATCCCCAGAACCAAACAAACAGACAAAATAACTAGAAACAGAGAGAGAGAAGAAAAGAAGGACGGGAGGGAACCAGGAGGAGGGAGGGAATCTCTCAGAAAGCCCCCTAATCAAAGTCTATCCAGCTCATCCATTTCTGAAATCAAGAATTGTGAGATAATAAAATTTGTGTCACCTTAAGGCACAAAGTTCATAGTGATTTGTCACAACAAGAAACTAATCCAGATCCCTGTTCCTGGCTCTGCTTTTAGGAAATCTAGCCTCAATTACAATCCCAGTTTCCACAGAGATGTCAATCTCAGTTGTTAGACTGCCTTCAAATTAAGACTGAATAAAGAAATAGCCATACAGAAACTTCCCTGGTCATGCAGCAGCAGCATGGAGATTAAGGCTGTGAACTCTGCAGGTCACTGAGTTCCAGCCCAGCGCCAGCTCTTCTACAAGAGCAAAACACTTGTATTTATTGATTCACGTATTGGCTTCACTGCTGTCCTTCTGCAAGGAGTAAGGGGCTAATAAAAGCAACTCAGCGGTTCACTGAGACTTATTACATGTAAAGTGCTTCATTAAGTTTCAGGGTCTCAGTCGGGGGTGGTGGTGCACACCTGTAATCCCAACACTCAGGAGGCTGAGGCAGGAGGACCAACCTGGGCTACATAGTGAGTTCTAGGTCAGACTCAACTACATAGTGAGATCCTGTCTCAAAAAAGCAAAAGCAAAGAAAAAAAAAAAGTTTCAGGGTCTCTGTTTCCATCTTTCCAATGTGCCCAGGAGTTTGCTTCTCTATCAGGTTAGAGAAAGGAGTGGCCAGGAAATAAGACTCCCACAGTGTGGTTGAGTATGCAAAAATACTGCATGCCAGTTTAAAAATTATATTGCATTTTATTTTCCAGTACAGAATGTGTAGTTTGTTATGAAAAAATGTAGTAGGTGAGGAGAGAAGTATTATCTGCATTATTTCCAGTTGTATGAGGCCTTAGTGACACAATGGAGACGAAGATTCCAGACTTGTAATTGTTTCAATGGTGGTTTTTTTGAATGATGTTTATTTTTATGATATTCAAGTACTGTATTTGTCATTTATAAATAATAATATACATTCATAGTATCACTATTTTAAAATGTTTACCATGTATTTTTGCATCTAGTTCTATTTCAATTTTTTTATTACTTTATAAATTCTTAAATTAATTGTATAGCGTTACATAATATATATGTGCACCTATATTCACAGAGGCACAGTTTATAATAGCGAAAACTTGGAGAGAGCTCAATTGCCTATCAGTTGGAGACTGGATAAAGAAAATGTGTTAAAAAAATAAAATGGAGTACTACTCAGGCATAAAAAAATGAGAAATTAGAAACATTTAAAATTAAATGGATGCACACTGAGGCCATACTCTTAAGTGAAACAAATAGGACACATGTGTAAATACTGAATAGTTTCTCTGGTGCAAGAAACTGAGAATGTAAATAAGGACAAAACGTATAATAGACACAGGCCCTTCCGGGACGCACTCCCAGGACCTGCCCCTCCCGACAGGTCCCGCCTCCTCACCTCACAGCGCACTGAGCTGTGAACTCATCAATAGATGAAACCCCTGCTGAATATAGAGAGGGGCCCCATGGTCCAATCACCTTCAAAACACACGAGACTTCTGGGAGTCATTTCAGGTCTAAACCGTGAGAATTATTCTTAAACATTATTATCCATCAGCAGCAGCAGCAACATCACCATCATTGTGATTAATTATGGTAGTATGGATTCTGTGTAGAAGTTTGTGTGTGTGAGGCAAGCATTGAACCACTGAACCACATCTCCAGCCCTTTTTATTTATTTATTGTTTATTTATGTTTTGTGAGACAGAATCTCACCAAGTTGTCCATTCTGGCCTCAAACTCGTGACCTCCCTGCCCCAGCCCTTCCCTTAGCTGGTGTTCTAAGGTCTTCACTACTACACCCAGCTCACCCGTACTTGGTTGGAGATGATATGCATGTCTGGTTTTTATTTTCCTATTTAATGCTCTCATTTATTTGTCATGAAAAGTAAGCCAAAAATTTGAAAAATCAACTAATTTTGGATAGATTTCTGCAACTTTTTAGAAATTTTGGTAAGCTTCTTGGCTTAGGCAAATGAATAAAAAAATGACACATTATTGACCTGACAGAAGCTGGGCCTTAGCAAACATTCATTGGTTTGGATTTGTTCCTTGATGGCACCACGTTAAGTGCACAAATGAAATGTAAACTTCCCAAGACTTCCCAGCTAGCATAGAGCAGTTAGTTTGTGACATGGCCCTAGCCCCGGGAATTACAGCCACTGAGAGTACTTCCTAACTGGGAGTAAGCTCTAAAATGACTTCAGTGATCCATGTTGCAGACGTTTTACCTCCTCAGAGGTGTGTTTAAAGTGAATTATGTTATTGGTTCTGAGAGAAGTCCAGTCTAGCGATAACATTTGCAAGAGACAATGTAGCACTTTGAAGGAAAAATATTAAGTCTAAAAATAGTACAATACATTTAAAATGTACCACTGAATGATTTAACATTACTTTTGTGTGTTTCAAAACTCTCACTCAACAACATTTATGAAATTTTCATTTCATTTACAGGCTTACTGGGGTTAGACAGAAAAATCAAACTCTTAAGTCATTAAATCCTTTAATATTATAAAAGATATAGAATATAAGCTGGGCAAGGTGGCACATGCCTTTAAGCCCAACACTCAGGAGGCTGAGATAGGAGAATTACTGTGAGTTTGAGATGAGCCTGGGCTGCGTAGTGAGCTCCAGGCCAGTCTCAACTATGTAGAGACACCAAGTCTCAAAAACACCAAAAAAAAAAATAGATATAGAATATAGAGTTTATTTTGTTTGTTACATTTTAAAACTAATTTGATTAATGTATACAATGAGCAGTGTACACAGGCAAAACATTTAAAAGTATAAAGTATCTCCTATTTATCCAATTCCAAATGCCAGCCATAGCCACCAAGCCAAGTATATTTTTTAAGAGAGCTACTGAATTTCTGCAGTATATACATGAATGAATACTCATGAAATGTTATCAGCAAGAATGAAATGCATTTGTATTTTTAAATGGCTGAATACAAAAAAAGTCAAAGAAATCTGGCAGTCGCAAGTCTAAGAACCTAGAAATCCTGAGAAAGATATAGAATAGAGTTTATTTTGTTTGTTACATTTTAAAACTAATTTGATTAATGTATACAATGAGCAGTGTACACAGGCAAAACATTTAAAAGTATAAAGTATCTCCTATTTATCCAATTCCAAATGCCAGCCATAGCCACCAAGCCAAGTATATTTTTTAAGAGAGCTACTGAATTTCTGCAGTATATACATGAATGAATACTCATGAAATGTTATCAGCAAGAATGAAATGCATTTGTATTTTTAAATGGCTGAATACAAAAAAAGTCAAAGAAATCTGGCAGTCGCAAGTCTAAGAACCTAGAAATCCTGAGATCATTGTAGAGTGCTCATTAGTTAGAGAAGTTAATCCTGGTCAAGGAGGACTGGACCTGTGCAGGTCTGGATTGAGCTAAAGTTAAGGAAGGAAAATGAGATGAAGATTTTTCCATCCTTTAGCAATCAATTACCTTACAGCAAAACAGTGGATGCAATTCCTACTTCTCACTACTCTCATCACCATAGTTACCAAATCTAAGAAATTATATTTATGCAATTATATGTGGCAGCATTTATACAAGGTAGTGGTATTCAAATTTAGTGTGCATCAGTATCTCCTGACAGCTTATTAGAGATGCAATTTCTTAAGCTCCATCCAAAGAGGATTTTGACCCCGAGTAGTCAAGGTCATGAGTGGAGCCTGCTTTCTTTGATAAGCAGACCAATTGGCCCTGCTGCCTTGATCTCACCACACAGCTGGAGAAAGTTCAGCACGAACCTTCAGAATCCTTTGATGAGCCGTCCAGACGCAGTGTCAGGTACACACATAACGGGGGTTGATATTACAGCTCACCTTCAGCCCTTCCCTCGCTTTTCTTCATGTTGGCAATTTCCGGAGGACAGCGCCAAGGCCAAATGTTCATACAACTTCTGCTCAGACTCTAAAATTGCAACCATCAATTTAATGTACATCCTTAATTTTTATGCACACAACATGCAACCCAGTTTCCATATATAAATGAGGAGATTTATGGGAGCAATTTGAGAACCTGGAGGGAAAAAGTTAACCTCCTGTATCTTATGCTTTAACGCAGAGGGGAACTTTAACCCATTCTTCCTAATTAGTATTCATTTTTATTCTTTTTTTATGACAAAAGAAGCTGTGATCTGCTTTTGCAATAGGGATTTTCCTTTTATGTAGCAGCATAATTTTCTTTGAAGTTTTATGTTCATTGAAATTTAGTCTTAGGAAATTACATCAGCTGGAATTGGCCTTGGCACCAGAACTTCAAAATTTTATGTTTAAATTAATTGTGAATATATAATGTCATACTGAGAGTCCTTTTCTATAATGTAGCCTACCTTTCAGTAGGTTACCAGGAGTTAAGCATTTGGCATTCTTTATTAACTTCAAAGTCCCCAGAACCAAGGTTAGCAATTTCTCATGTGCAAATAAGGCTATTCGATAGGCAGTGTTTTTTGCCTTGGGCCCAGAGTTGCTGACTTTAAATTCTATTTGTTCTTCATTTTTTGACCCTGTGTCTGTTTAGTGGGCTGAGGAGCCACTCAAATGCTCAGAAGCCCCGAAAATCCAAGACCCCTAATCAGACAAAGTCTACATTCCATGGTCACCTAGTCCCCTCCTCTCCAGAACTGAATTACCATAGCAACCAAAAGATCAGAAAGGCCTATATTCTAGACTTATACATTGAACAAATGCCACCATTTACAAAATAGCTTTCTTGAATCTGAATGCTTCAAGCAACTGCAAAAGGAATGATTCAGAGACTTCAGGGTGGCAAACTGCAAAATACCACGGACTTGTTCAGTGCACAGTCACGTGGAACAGAAAGAGACTCGCCCTGGAAGCCTGATGGACAAGCACACGCCAGCTTCCCTCCCTCCCTCCTTCCTCAGCCACTAAGCGGGCAACTAGTGTTTAGCACAAGTAGGTAAGCAGGTCTGAGCCCCTCACACTTAGAACTGCATACTAGTCTGGTTGGATTTACTAAGAAAATGGAGGTTTGCTTCTAAAAGGACTTGGGGCACAAAGGGAGATGGCGCATCTCTGATATGTGAGCTCCATGGGTGAATACAGAGCCCAGGGCTTCCTGGCATTGATTAGCCCCTCCTTTGGTATCAGGGATTGAAGATCTCAACGACCTAGAAACCCAGTGTCACCCTGGGAAGGGAGGAACACAGATCAGGCACATATTTATATAATTTATCTGAACTGAGCTAACAGGATTAGAGATTAGATTCTAAGAAAGTTTTGCAACAGTGAAGCAGGCAATCTGCAGAACTTCTCTTGGAGGGTGGCGGTAGCTGGTATTTACACATTTAAATACTGAACTGGTGTTGACACATGGGCAGGACGCTTTCTTACCACTACACAGCACTGTGGTACTTGGATCTGTTCCTTGCTTTGTATTTGTTCCCAGAAACTCTAGACCCAAATATATCCTGAGTGTTCGGATGGTCAAGATGTAGACTTTTTGTACTAATCTTCATGACTCAGCCCTTTGTTCATAATCTTCTTCTACCTCTCACTTTCTAGCCCTTTGGAGAATAAAACAGCTCTTTTGCATGCCCAGTGATAATTGTTAGTCCTGGCGCAAATGGACTGAAATGTTGGGTGAGTAATTTGTGAATCAGTGAATCTTGCTTATGAAATATGAGGGATTGCCCTCTTAGTCTGTAGATCCTCTATAGAGTTCCCTTTCTCCTAAAAACAGGTGTTTTATGAATTAAAAACCTTAGAAAATGTAAATTATATCACACTAAGAATACCAAGAGATATAATTCGTGTTTCTGGTTCAATAAATTTTTTAAACCGAAATGTAAGTTTTTTGACACTAGAAAGGATTTGACACCTAGAATTATGTAGGGATTCCATTAACTGTAGTCTACAGCATACCTTGATAAAAGCCCTGCAAAAAATTGGAATAGATGGATACTTAATAAAGACTATCTATGAAAAGCCAACAGCCAATGTCATATTAAATGGCCAAAAACTGAAAATCTTCACGTTAAAATCAGGAAGAAGACAAGGATGCCCACTCTCACCATATATATATATATATATATATATATGCCCACTCTCACCTCTTCGATATAGTTGTAGAAGCATTAGCCATAGCAATCCGTCATTCTTTAAAAGCCAGGACTCTCTCACTCATTCTCAATAATGTTCATATGAAGGGTGGAAAACCTCAGAAGCAAATGTGGTTTTATATAAACAGCAGGTAAATTGTGAACTGGTCTGTGATTACAGAAAGTAAATGCTGGCAACTCTCCCCAGTCACTCTTTTCTCTGGCTGGCAGAAAGAATAGAGAAATAACACTGAAATCAGCACTTGAATCACAATCGAGAAATTGTAACCTTATTGCAAAAATTAATTTGTGTTTTACCTCTATAATTCTAGGTCATGGAAAAATACTAGACTAGGGCAAAGGCAATTGTAATTCTGTTTGGAAACATCATTGGCTTGCAAAGCAGTGTTTCAACTTTGAGAAACCCCATTTAAACAAGTGGAAGGAGTGGCGTCATTTAAATACACCCAAGCAAATACGACGAACTGCTGTACCTAACCTTGAAGATTTGCTCGGTAACAACCGAGAACGGCAGCTTGCCTGATTCAGTTCTGTCAAAACCAAGGAGGAAGGCCAGGGGAACCAACCACACACACTTTACAAAGGGAGGACGTGGTTAAGGGATATTAATACGTTAGAGCTAAGAACATAGGTGGGAAAAAAAAAGGAATTATCATGACAGTGACAAATGGCCTAAGTTTCCTTTTCAAGAAACACTAGTAATAGCCAAAGTAGGGATTATCTTTGAAAATGGAAGTTCTGACAGTAAAAGTTAAGCTTGATCCTGCACAATGTCTCTGTATTGAATCAATATTTAAAATCCTTTTTTTCTAAAAATGAAAGTTTCTTTTATCAAAATTTTAAACACTCCCCCAGAAACACTACCACTCCTTGTTTCTTAGTCTTCTGAATGTTCCATTCACATGGCTTGAATGGGTTGTGGTACGAGTTATATTTTTAATGCTATCTTTACATTTTCTCACCCCATCCAGGAAGTGAGTCCAGACACTTTCAGTTGTTAAATTTCCAAATTCCGCCTTTTCACCCGCTCTCCGTGGCCTCTCCTCCACTCCGGCACCCCAGTCCTCCAAGCAGCGCCCTGAAACTGCTCTCTCCACCCCTCTTCCTCTTCCTCTCTCCTCCTTGCCCATGCTGAGCACGTCTTCCTGACACCTAACCATAGCGTTGGCATCCCTCGGGGATTCCCGTGGGTCATGGTCCTCCTTGGCCTCCTCGGAGACCCTTCCTGCAGGTGTCTCTTCCTCAGCACCCCAGCACCCTCCTCCACGCCAGGGTTCATCCCAGCCGCTCCCGACTTCGCTTCCTCCTGCGCTGTTTAGTAGTTCTTCTTCCCGTGTGCACCCATACTCCGACTTCAGCTGAGCGCCACCCATCCACTCGGTCTCCATGAACCCAGCAGAGAGAAAGTCACATTTTCTTCAGAAACACCCTATGTTTCTGGTTACCCTGGTTCCATTCCAACATTTTTTTTCAAAAAGAACTTTGTCCCAGTTCCAATCCGACCCTGTTCCTGTTAGATTCTGTGTCTCCTGAGAACAAAAACCTAGTCCACTTAGCCACTGTGTGAACCATCGGGTGCTATACACACAACATGTGAAGAAATGCTTTGAAATAAACAAAGGGATAATAATGAAAATTTAATTGAAATGTGAATGAATTTAGAAGGTTGTCATTTTACTAAAATAGGAGGGAAAATTAAACTACTTTTTTTGTTATTTGTTTTGCTTTGAGATAGGGTCTTACTATGCAGTTCATGTTGGCCTTGAACTCATTATGTAGCCCAAACTGGCCTTGAACTCATGATCCTCCTGCCTCAGCCTTCTGAGTGCTGGGATTACAGGCGTGTGCAACTACACCCCTTTAAATTTTTATTTTATTGCATGACAAGTGATAATTGCTTCACCTTTTCAAAAAACAACTTTATCTTAACCATCAACATGCTAGGCTTAACTGTATCATGATGTTATTGAAGTTTGTAGCCAAGAAAAATACACATAGATTTAAAGTAGATAAACTAACATATGATGACTGCATCTGAACTATGGTATTCGGAGAATTTTAACGTTTTCATATAGTTCTGCATTTTCTACAACACATTTATTGCATTTGTACCAGTAGAGCAGTACTCATAATAAAAACATTTGAACAATCACTTATCCTTGTTTATTTTAAATATACAAACATTTATCTTAGTAGAACTGAAACCTGAGAATACAGAAACGTCATTCTGTTTAAGTCAGTGTGACATGACTTACATTTAGGGATCAGTGCTCTAAGTGCAATTGAAAAATTCAGTGAAGGAGGTAAAGAAATTGATGCGAAAAGGTAAATCAAGAGATCATTTTTACTGCTGCTGTAACAATAGAATAAAGTTGTGAACTAAAGTGAGAAGCGGAATGAAGGACAGAGAAGAAAGCTGGAATCATGAGGCGCTTCGACTACCAGTTCGGGGAGAGGTCTGAGGAAGTGGTTGGATCCCCCACATGCACAGTAAAGACTGACAGTACCCGGACAGTAAAGACTGCTGGCTCTTCATGCTAAGGGGTGTCATTGAGGTAGTCGACACAATGGGTCCCGTGGAAGGTACCGAGGGAAGGATGGGGTAAAGGAGGCTGCAGGGAATAGGAAGCTAATATGAGTCCAGATCCTCTGGGATTTCTGGCCAGACCGAGTCATACCGTCAGAAGAAAGAACAGAGCTTCCTGTAGAAATTATTTAAAGAAAGAGAGGCTGCCCACCGCTGGCTGGGCAGGGAAGGTGGTGACGGTTTTCTCTGAAAAGAACCTGTGGCCAGTCCGTGAAGGGAGACCTAGGACTCTTGAAAGCTATGAGAGAGGAGAGTGACTGTAACTCAGAGCGAACATCTGTGGCGTTTGGTAGTAGTGGGGAAACTACAGGTTGAATTTACTGGTGACAAATATCAATTAATAATGAATTCCTCAGTGTGCATTATAATATTGGAGACTATATTTCACAGTACATTCTTGAAAGGTGAGTGTAACCACTATAGCTGCTCACTTTAGATCAAAATTTATAGAAGTATAATAGCTTACTGCATTATCTTTATTTATTTGTTGGAAGGTACTAAGCCATTAAGTTTCATAAATATAAGTAAATTTTTCCATCTGTATAAATATCAGTTGCAGTGCCGAGGAGGAACCTATCATTATGAAGAATGAGTTTATTTAGAATTTGAACCCTGTTTCAGGAACAGAAGAGTCTAGGTCCTTTGACAATTGTTATTTCTCCTTTTTACTGATAAATGTGTGTGATTATTCCACGACACCTTTTGTTTGGGGTTACAGACATTTATTTAATTGGATAAAACAAGTAGAACTGGAATATTGAATTAATTTCATTTCAACATTTTCTTACATTTACTAAAAATCGCAAAATGCCTGTGACACAGGTTAGAATGAGTAGTTTCATTTTCTAGTTCTACCACCACAGCCTGTTAACACTCTGGTCTTGGGAAAATTAAACCTTTCTGTCCTTCAGTTCTTTACCTATAAAATAAAGACTTTAGCAGCAGCAAGTGTACTTTAATCTGGTTTTAATTTAACCACCTCCTGATAAAATTTCTAAATATTTACAAATCAGCTGTAGTGAGGAGGTAATAAATCAAGCATATCATGGTTAAAGAAAATCATAAAGGAGTTTCAGGAAGCAAGACTTAAAGTAAAATTAATACTTTAAACGTGAACTGAAAACTAAGATTATATGAATAGATAATATGGATATAAGATCACTAAAAGAAATGGTGTGACCCTTATTAAAAACTGACAAAAGATAAAGAATGAAAAAATAGATTCATTCATAGGAAAATGGATACATATTGAAGATATACTCCTAAGTGAAATAAATAAGGCACACATGTGTAAATATCGAATAGTCTCTCTGGTGTGAATAATCTGCAATAATACAGAAGATCCTAATAAGATTACTGACATTGTGAAATGGGAAGAAAGGGGCTAAAGGTGTAGGGAAGGTGGGATGGGCAGGGGAAGGGTAATGAGGGAAAAGAAAAAATGTGAGAGAATGAAAAGATGGAAATAAAGTGTTTGTAGATGGGGAGGGGAGGAGGGGGTGAAGGGAGGGCAGGGGTAAGGGGAAAAAATGAGAACCAAGACCTGTCATGTAGAGGTACAAGATCCCAACAATGAATGTAACTTACTGTATCCCTAAAATGTACCAATAAACTCAATTAAAGCTGAAAAAACTGACAAAAGAGAATATTTATACACTGGTGTAATGAATGGAATCTGACAAGGTCCAGTCTGTTCCAACATCCAGTTAAAGGCAACCCAAGATATCAGAAAGATTGGTTCATGAGATACTTAACTAAGTTTCACTTAAGATAGAGTAGAACAATGAGGCATTTGTTATTTAGCTCCAAATTTTTGCCTTATATCGTGACCTTCAAGGATTTCCTGTGCCTTTCACTTCATAATCATTCCCACCTCAATTTTTGAAATCATCACAATTCGAATCTTAGCTCCACTCCTAATCAAATTGGTTAATTCCAGTGTGGTTTCCTTCGGGAATCCAAGGAACCATTGCCTCTTTAGAGCTCTCACCAGGCTCTTTCCCATCCACTGTGATCATTTCACAAAATTTTTCTTAAAACCGCTCTCTCTTTACAAAACACACCACAGATGGACCGTGATTCCTCAAAAGCTATGCTGCCCAAAGTCTAGACTAAACCAAGACTGCCTTTCCGTAATTCTAGTCTTGCTTATCCTGCTGAGGTCTCGCTCAAGAATAACTACCAAGTATATGTATTTTACTTGTACAGTCTTTTTTCTGAGGAATTTGATTCTGGCCACTGGATCCACAGACAGTTTGATCTCTACCTATTTATGATTTATAAAGGCAACTATTTTCAATAGTTACTGGTTTTTGAACTGGCCTTCCTAATACTGATTATTTCCTAAAGTACACTGACATGATTATGCTAATTTTTCTCCATAAAATTTAGACTACCTAATATATTCTTTGTGGTTAGCTGCCATGCTGTCTTAGTTGCTGTCTTAGTTTTAGTTGCTGGGCCAAAATGCTAGACACCCACAGGTTACAGAAGAAAGGCTTATTTTAGCTTACAGTTTATAGAGATAGTCATAGCCAGCTAGGTCCAAAGCAGGGTGTTATGCAGAGGAGAGAAACAGTCCATGGCAGGGAAGGCATGCCTTCCTCCTGTCCCTGCACTGTGTATTCCATCCAGGCTATAAACCGATCTTCAGTTAATCCATTTGGCCACACCCAGAATCATGCTGATGCAGTCAGTGGGCTAATCCAGTATCACATACCCTAGATCCAGTCACCTCCAAAAAGCCCCACCTCTGAGTGCATCAGGCTTTGAACAGACAGCTAGATACAAGCCATAACACATGCTGAAAAAATCACTTCCCTCAAGATCTGCCCAGCTATATTTCTTGATGTGCACTCTTACTTTCCTGTGTTAATATTTAAAATGACCTTGTGCTTCTCAGGATGACTCTATGCTATTTCATACCTCAAAATATAGGAATAGTGTACCTTCAGGCTGGAGATGGAAAATTATAATTCCATGAGATTCAATTGTC